CAAATAAGTATTTAAATGAAATTATCGTGGCCAGAAAAATTATCGAGGTCATTTTTTTATCGTACGATTAATCGATTTATCGACTATCGCGACAGGCCTAATTCCACCCAAGCTTTATATGGCTTGTTTACTTTGTGTAATTCATGTTGAGTCTGCTGTTTCTCGTGTGTGTGCATTTTAAAAGTTTTCCATGTTTATAATCACATATACTTTTGCTAACTAATTTTAAGTACAATCTAATTGGCCAGACGTTATACCGCAGTATACAGTATTTTGAGAGTATTTTCGAACAATATGTTGATCTGTTAAAATATGGGCACATGTATGCCTATATATTTGTGTTATTTTATGATAATGCATGATCCACATGTTCCACAGCCTAACAGACAGCTGAGTTAAAAAGATATTATATTATATTACAAGATAATGCAATTAAAAATTAGTTGTTGCAATACAATTTTATACTGTTTGCATGTGCTGGGGCAGTGCCAGAGTGTTTAATTGGGATATAGCTGGAACAGCCAACCCCCCCCCCCCCCCCCCCCCCCCCCAGCCCCCTCCACCGGACAAAAGTGACTGGCCTCATCATAGCTGTTAATAAATTTTATGGCCTGACTGAACACAAAAGTTGCCCATCCCTACAGTAATAACTATAAAAAGGACTCACAGTGCCATTGGGCCCTTGCACACAGAAAGCCTGCAAGATGAAGTTAATACTAATTCAGGTTTTTTTCCTTCTTCTGGCACAGGCCACAGAATGTAAACCGCGTCCAGGGAGAAAGACCTTCAACAAGCTCCTGGTCATCTCCTTTGATGGCTTCAGATGGGATTATGACCAAGATGTGGAAACCCCAAACATGGATAAGCTTGTGAAGGAGGGAGTGAAAGCCAAATACATCACTCCACCCATGATAACCATGACTTCCCCATCTCATTTCACAACAATCACTGGTAAGGGTGCAGTCCATTGAATCTTCCAACAATGCCTTCTTTGTAATATAGTTTTCATATGTTTTGGGTGACTCTAAATGTGCATTAATTCTGTGATAATATGCATGGACACCAATTGTTCAGTAACTAGCTTGCAGTATGTTCCTATTTGCTAGTTCTTCAGGAGGAAAGCCGGCATGGGGGTGTGTCCATCTACCTAAGCCTTCTTTGCCTAATTTCTTTCTTCACTACTTAGGAAGTTGGGAGGGATTGTTTATTCTTGCTATCAGCTGGCAAAACACACAATTAATGGGTTATTTAAGTTCAAATGGATATTCAGTACATTTTTAATTTAAACCCTCCTTTAAATGTTTAGTTCATTCATTGATTCGTTCCTTAACATGCTCTTTCCCTTTAAACCTTCCAAAGATACCTTAGAGAGACATTTTTTTTTAATTCTACAATCCTATGATCCACTACTACCACACAGAAACAGAAGCCATTTAACAAGTTTTGGAATTTATTGAAGGAATTTTGTGTATTTGAACTACTATAGGATTGATATAGGGAAAAAGAAACTGACCTCTTGAACACACCTGAGAAACATTCTTTGTCCAATCTCTATAGGGTCTTGGTAAAAATGGCCACTGACAGCCTATGAAATATTAGAGCGGTATATAGGCCCCTGAACACATGATAACTCAGCTCAGCATGTAACAGGTAAACAGTGATATTAAATAGTGATATTAAATAGTAAATAGTGAATAATTACCAGAATCTTGTTTGCCTCAGCAAACAGCAGCTTTCCAGAAATAAATTGATATTGTAGAAAGGAGTATGTTCTAAAAAATATACATAATACAAAAGAGCAATAATGTCCTGTGGATGTAACTGAAATATTACACTATTAGAAACTGTAATGATTAGATGAGATTGAAATGCAGAGGCACCAGGTTTATTTCAAAATCACAATCTAAAAATTGTAATTCAAAGCATGGGTGGTAGATCGAAGAGCCGATAATAGCAGATGAAGAAAACCAAAGATAAATTATATTCCAAAAGCCACAATCCAGCCATAGTCTGAAATGTCAGTAGGCCAATATGTGCAAGATCAACAAAAAAAAAGTCAACACTCAAACACTCAGTACCTCACAAAGAGGCCACAGACAAGGTCCAGAAATACAGAACCAGTTAAATGAGTTCATGAGTCATCAGTGTGCTAGTAGTAGTGTGACCAGACTGGAAATTACAAAATGAGGGAGTTGCACTTTTTAATGATGAGCACAATATGGAAGCATATTACACAGTTAATTACTTAAAAATTTACACTGAATATATAGTATTTCAGGAAAGCAAATTATACAATTGCACAGCTCCAGGCAACCCCTTGATGAGATTCTAATGTATATATGATTTTTGAAAATCAGATGAAGATAACCCAGGGTGCAGAGGACACACACATACTACACACATTATGTTGGTTTGAGAGGAAACACAAATATTACAAACATTATGTTGGTTTGAGAGGAAACACACATATTACACACATTATGTTGGTTTGAGAGGACACATATATTACACACATTATATTGGTTTGAGAGGACACACACAAACTACACACATTATGTTGGTTTGAGAGGACACACATATTACACACATTATGTTGGTTTGAGAGGACACACACACATTTTACACACATTATGTTGGTTTGAGAGGACACACACATATTACACACATTATGTTGGTTTGAGAGGAAACACACATACTACACACATTATGTTGGTTTGAGAGGACACACACATTTTACATACATTATGTTAGTTTATGGGGAAATAGATTGAAATGCATAAAGAACATGTCCATTTCTCTAAGTCAGTGTTCGTTTGACTCTATATTATACTCTGCTGCTCTCTAGCCTCAGCTTAGCACATGATAGTCAAATTTTAGTCAAAACAAATGTAGTAGATATGAAAATTTGCTAACTGAGCCTTTATATGTAAATCTTTAACATATTTGGAATGGATTTGTGAAACGAGTGCTGTTGAAAATCTTATTGCAAACTGTTTGTAAATGGGTTTGTATTTGTGCCGGGGTTAAATTGTCTGTTCTCATATTCCATGCAAGGGCTGAAAAAAATAACAAGTGTATGTTTATTTCATTTACACATTTAGAGAGGCATGAGACATAACAGTAAAACATTTCAAGTAAATTACATTGGAAGAAAATAATAAGTTCAAGTAATTAAATTCTGGATTCATATTTAAATGAAAATATGATGGTATGTAATGATATATAAAGTGGATTATCAAACTCTTAACAGGAAGACTAAGCAATATATTGAGCCCTTGCATGTTGTGGATATAATTTGTTTTATTAGAGGTTCCTATGTTTATGGGAATCTGCCTGCTGTGCTCATTTTCTTTTTTTTAAAAAAACAAACTTTTTAAACCTGTTTCTAACACAGTGAACTATTTAACTACTATATTCACTTTAATTTTTATACTTTTAGTTTATTTGACCACGACAAAATAGTAGGAACAGGTGATGTTTTTCCATAGGACAAAATGTCAAAAACGAACTAAAAAAAGCGAGTATTACTCTTCTTATACTCAAGCCCTTCATCTAGTGATGTAGAAATTTAACAGTGTTTGGTAATATCCTGACACCTTGAGGAACCAAGATGAACTTCAATTACTAATTTCTGCTGCAGTTTACGTGCAATACATGCAAATGCACTATCATTCGGGAAAAAAACACAAACTGAACACAACTGTGTGATGATTTTCTGTTTTGGTTATATAGGCAGATGGATTGAAGACCACGGTGTGGTCCACAATATGAAGTTTAACTCCACGTCATATCTCAAATTAACCCACAAGGCGACTCAAAACCAGTCCGATTGGTGGGACAACGGGGTCGAACCTCTTTGGATCACAGCTCAGAATCAGGTGAGAATCTTTAAGTATAATAATCCTCAGAACATAGTCACATAGCATATTTATTATCAAAGGTAACTTGGCATGAATTTGATAATATTTATTCTGTGAATAACCATCACGAGGCAATCAATCAAAATAATATATTTAATAATGTGTTACTCTCATCTCAATTTCTGACCGTTATATACAAGGGAACAAAAGGCTGGCCAATATGCAAGAAGTTAAAGGTAAATGCCTTTTTTTCTCCAGGGCCTAAAAACGGCTTCATTCCACTATCCAGGAGGGGGAGCAAATTATAGTGGACAGGCGGTGAATCGGGCTTTGGTTGAGTCCTATGCTCACCCGGATAGCAATGAAACAGAGTGGCATGAAAACATTGACATTGTAATGGGCTGGTTTAACCAGGAAGACTTTGACTTTGTAACACTGTACTATGGGGAACCAGACGGTGTAGGGCATTCCAAAGGACCAGAGACTAAAGAGAGAAGAGACATGATTAAGCAGATTGATCGTACCATCGGATACCTTATGAAGTCCATACAGCAACATCAGTTGACCCATCGCCTTAATGTTATAATTACTTCTGACCATGGAATGACCACAATCAAGAAGAAACCTCAAGTAGAAGAGATACTGCTTTCAAAATATCTTAAGTTCTGGAAAGATGTCCATTTTGACCTGCTTGACTATGGTGGCTTTGGAATGATCACACCCAAAGAGGGGAAAGAGCAGGAGATTTACAATGCACTGGTAAACGCCCATCCCAACTTAACAGTGTACCAAAAAGAAAATCTTCCTGAGGACTTTCATCTGGCCAAAAACAGCAGAATCCTGCCCATTGTTGTTGTTGGGGATTTGGGATTCAACCTGAATTCAGTAGGTTTATTTTCACCCTCTTTACCATATACAACTAATGTACACTAGTTCAATAGTTTTTATATTTATTTATTTTTATATTTATTATTATATTGCTAGTCCAGTATTTGTTAGATAAAACTTTCATAAACAATATATTGTGTTTTACTGTGTGCAGAGAGTCATCTTCTACGTTAATAAAGGAGACCATGGATTTCACAATGGGGAGATGGACATGAAGACCATCTTCCGTGCTTTTGGTCCTGATTTCAAAAAGAATTACTTGGCTGAGCCCTTTGACAGCGTCAACATCTACCCACTGATGTGCAAACTCCTGGGTGTCACACCTGCCCCCAACAATGGCTCTCTAACCTTTACAGAGGGAATGCTATTGGGTGAGTTTGACAAAGAAACACCAGGTTTGACTGATCAAATCAGACGGCATGTGAATGCAACATTGCCACTTTTAGCATAATCACAGACATCTTGCTGTGGAACAAAAACCTTTCACACTTTTCACCAGAATGGTGAATATTTTCAAACAGCATACATCAAATTATATCTTCATTTGAAAATACCATGGCACAAAATACAAAAAATTAATGTCAAAATATATCAAGGTACTTTTTATCAGTCCACATTGTAATGGGAATAGTAGCATTATGTTGATACAAAAATAAATTATTCAGTTTTTAAATACTGATGTTTTTTTTTTTTTCATTCAGGAGGAAGCGGCAATAGGAAGATGTCATTTCTCCTTCTGACGACAACAATATTTTCCATTTTTCTTCTATTATAGGTATTATTGAGAAAAGTACAATAATCTGGCTTCTGTCACAAACTAATTACAAAATTTTTACTGTTGCTCCTACACCTACTGTCAGGATTGGTCCCTGCCTAGTCCTGTCCTGTCTGTTGTTTCCCAATTTGGCCAGCAGGTGTCACTGGCCATCCCTTTCTTTCCTCAGTGTTTCCTAGGTGTAGCACCTTTCTCTGTCCCTATTGTTTTCCCTCATTCCCTGGGCTGACACATGACAGAATGGCTTGCTAACCATGCATCCGATATGTGAGTTCTTGGAAGATTTTTGAGCTTTTGTATATCCCGTGTTAATTTTGTTCTTGTGTTAATGTATTGAAGTATCTCAGGGTCTTGTTAACGAGTGAGGGAAGGATGGAGCGGGAGATTGACAGGCGGATCGGTGCAGCGTCCGCAGTGATGCAGGCGCTGCATCGGTCTGTCATGGTGAAGAAGGAGCTGAGCCAAAAGGCAAAGCTCTCGATTTACCAGTCGATCTACGTTCCTACCCTCACCTTTGGTCACGAGCTGTGGGTTGTGACCGAAAGAACGAGATCGTGAGTACGAAGTGGCCGAAATGAGTTTTCTACACAGGGTGGCTGGGCTCTCCCTTAGAGATAGGGTGAGGAGCTCTGTCATTCGGGAGGGACTAAGAGTAGAGCCGCTGCTCCTCCGCATAGAGAGGAGCCAGATGAGGTGGCTCAGGCATCTGCTTAGGATGCCTCCTGGACGCCTCCCTGCTGAGGTGTTTCAGGCACGTCCCACTGGGAGGAAGCCCCGGGGAAGACCCAGGACATGCTGGGGGGACTATGTCTCTCGACTAGCCTGGGAACGCCTGGGGATTCCCCCAGAGTAGCTGGAGGAAGTGGCCGGGGAGAGCGAAGTCTGGGTTTCCCTGCTGAGACTGCTGCCCCCGTGACCCGACCTCGGATAAGCGGAGGTTAATGGATGGATGGATGGACATGCCTGCCCTTTCCCTGTTCCTCTGTCAGTCATTGTATGTACTGGATAGTTTCTGCTTGTTTATGCCTCTCGCTGTGTACTCCAGTTCACAGTTAGTTAGATGGCTCTGTGTTCTCTTATCTTTCCATTTAGTCCTAGTTATTATCTTTCAATTTAGTCCCAAATTGAAACAAAAGTTTATTTGGCATTTACACAGGTACAGAATTAGAAGAACATTGGAATTCTTGCATGATTCCCTCTGTCAAGACTTTAGAACAATGACACAAAAATTAACACATTAACAGCAAGATCATTCATGTCTTACTATACAACCAAATTATTACCTAGAATTTTTTTGTGGAGTGGATGTCTTAAGATGTCGTCCCTTTATTGACCGGTCGACCTGATGGATTTACCAAAATTACAATTCCCCAACAGCTCAGATCTCCTGCCCACCAACAATATAAATCCATGAAACGTGCACTCTATTCATGTCTTATAACCAATATGTCTTAATTTATCTGTAGGCTATTTGGAAGCTCGCGCCCACGCTCTTACCTTCTTCCCTCGAACAGAACAGAAGTGAGTGAAAAGGCGTGAGCGGCTAATATAGGAGAGGCGGCTTGATGGGAAATGTAGTTTCAACCATCTGATTGATCGTTGTACCTGTGACAATGATTATAAAGACATATTCTATTCTATTCTTTTAGGCTTCTTTCTCCTTGCGTTGTTCTTCGGTTGGACCACATTTCATTTTGCCAGCCATATCTACCAGACAGAATTCCTTTTCCTAATCAGGTGGTTTTAGGAACAGAGAATAGATTATTGCAGTTACTGCTTTTTAGAGGACTGCCCTTATCATCTTTTTTCCATTCCTCACATTTTTTTGCCCAAACGGCCCCATGGCGTGTTCCTCCAAGTAACTTAGACTCTTCCAAGATAAACTTTATTTCAGAAGACTGGATGACAATGCACTGAGCTGGTACAAGCTTTCTTGGAATGCTAGCATAACAGAAATCAATCTTGGGAAAAGCATTAGATGCATACATTACTGAAGTTAGGAGCTCAACCAAGGTCATTTAATTAAAAATGTTTGTTCAAAAAAATTGTTCATGAATGAGGTTTATTTGTGAGTGAGATGACTGAAGAAAGTTTGATCTGGTTTGAGAAATAGGACCCCCACTTGTCTGGGCTGCCGGCTTTCCATCTCAAAAACAGGAGATTACCTCGTACAGGAGGTACGTCTCTTACTCTGTCACTTAAAAACACACACATTATCAAAAAAAAGTGACCAAACTGTTTTTCAGTGGAAAACAGTAACTTTACTATGTCTAATGGTCTGTTGTTGGAATCATTTGTATTAACTCCTTTCTCAACTAAAATAAAGAGCAGGCATCCTTACAGATTGCTGTTTGAATGTTTCTCATATACTAGTTCCCATATGCACTTTTCACAGTAGGAAGTACTGCTGTACTTCTCATATGTTTTCAATAGAAGTAGGTTTCGGAATTTCAGAATTGTGATAGATTTCGCATGCATGGTTTTGCAGTTAATATCTGACATCGTGCTTTTGAACTTCTTGTATCCAGTTCTTTTAAATTACCTACCTTTTATCAAGGCTTTCACCATAACATTGAAAAGCAAATCTGAAACTGAATAAAATGCAAACAAAAACTAGTTGTTCTCCAAAAGAAATTGACCATTTATGCCCTCTTAACATGCAAGGTAAAAATGGAAGAAAAAACTAAATGAATAATAAAAAGTAATGAGCATTTCTGAAGACTGGCCCCCCTGCAGCACCACTCCTCCGTCTCCACTTTCTTTGACCCAAGGCAGAGAGCTACAGCTTGGGAGTGAATGCAAGTCAAAACCAAGGACACTGGTTAGCAGTAATACCAATATATTTTTACATATTAAAAGAACACAAAGTAAGACATTTGAGATATCATTCATACGATAACCCTAATACAAATCTCTTAGCTTAAGAACCCTTCCAAATATTTTAAGTAAACTTTCAGAGGAAAAAATCTAATTAGACACCTAGCTTAATTTTGTCTAAACATTTGCATTTCTCCAAAAAATATGTCAGGCAGTCAAATGGTCTATGTAACCTTTTTCTTAGCTAAGATATAATCAATTACAACATTTCCATTTAATTCTACTTAAGTGTTTGTTTGTGAAAGAATATCAGCAGAGCAAATGGTGATCAACGTAAATATCCTAGTGCAATTTCATAAATATGAATACCATGTTAAACAGATAAAAATTTTACCATATCTATAAAAAAGTACTGTATATAATTACTTTTACTAGACTATTACGAATCTTGACAAGATAATCATAAGAGAATCAGCTAAAAAAGGCAGAAAGTTGCATTTATATGGGAAATTCATATTCAAATCCATTAGCAAAGGGATTTGCTTATCTTTCATTTTCAAAGTGTCCAAATTGCCCTACCTATGAAGAAATTATCAATATTTTCTAATTCCTAAAGACAGGTTAAAATAATATTTATTTTCTGTATTCTATAAGTATCACATATACAAATAGGATTTTTAAAGCAGTCTAACTTAATTCAGAACAAAGAATCCCCCTGTATAATAGATATCTTTTTCCCTTGATTAAATGAGATGAAGTGTTCATCTTTAGTGTTCAGGTCACAATATTGCAAGGGTTCTCTGGAATACCTAGACCCCAATCCTCATACTATTCTGTCCACTTGTAACAGCCAACATTATGCATTAAACAAAATGCTGTTTGAAAATAAAAACAAAATGATTCCTCATTGTCCTTGTCATCTTCTCCCAAAGTTGCACTGCAGGTTTTCAGAACATTAAAGCAAATCAGATCCATTATAATTAATGGCCAGGGGAGCAATCAGAGATGAATGGATGGGGTGGCTGAATCGTTACTAGGGAGGGCTGATGGCACGACTTAAGCCAATAAATACACATTTATTTGGGGGTGGGGGCTAAAAAACATTTAAGGGGGATTAAAGCCCCCTTAAAAAACACCCCTGCTAATGACATAAGCTTGATAAGGCAATGAGTCCTTTGAAAAAGAATAAGTGGAACGTGCAGGCTTATATAGTTCTGAAGCAGTCAATTGGTGCCTTCCTTTAGTTCTGGAAGAGTTAGAGTGTTGGGTGCTGAGGTCTTCCGTGGCCGATCTTTGGGCAAACTTAGGAATTCCGGAGAGTCTGCATTGACTGGAGTCGAGGGGGCACTGGAGGGGCTACAGTGCATGCCTACCGTGGATGGAACTATTTTCGTGGAGATGGTGGGGGTCACCAAGCCAATCTTCTCATTGGTGGCTCTCTGAATTGTCCGCTCAAACTGCCGCACCTCCTCCATGGACATATCTTTATAAAAAAAAAAGGTAATGTGATAAGATTGTCACGTCTTCCACACTTAATTTTTCAACCTTCCCATGCAAATGCTTCTGTTAACTTTCCTCGAAAAACCCTCCTTTGCTGGAAGAAGTGCACCACATTTCACACTAAAGTACATTACTACTTACTATTGTCAAAGCAAACACAAAAACTGAGAACACAGAGATAAACACTGATTCAGTACAGGTTTACTTGACTCCTGTTATGTATGCCTGTTGATAATATATTTTTAAGTTGTATGGAATAAACTGCCTGTATGTTTTAAAGTTCTAGGTTTTTGTTCTGATTTGATGTACTAACCCTTTTATAAATGTATACATTTTCCTGTACATGTAAGTAAAAATTATTAAGCTGGTATACAACACTGAACACTAGGTGACAGCACTGAACTTCAACAGTAAAATGCCATTTAAATGAAAACACTTTGGATTTGGCAGAGGTTTCACTGAAGTCATCATATATGGATTTTCTCATTAGCAAAATTACAGATGAGGAAATGAATGTTTAAAATATTCTCCAGTTGCCTTGGGTGTCAACTGCCACAAAGGTTCTGGCTAAAACAGAAACGTGCATTTATATAACGCCAATAAATAGATGAATGTAATATTCATTTATTTATGGAATCACTTGTTACCTGTGTTTGGACATGAGTCAAACAGCTTATTATACCTTATTACTATTATAGATCTACAAGGAAATAGAGTAGCATTCTAATGGAAGCAGAAGGACAGTCAGACAGTCAGTCAGACAGGGGACTGAGCAAGGCAGCCATTTGCTTGTACCAAACCCAAAAAAAAGAAAAGAAACAAAAAGGAATAAAACCCACTGCACCTGTTTAGCAGAAAAGCCAGATGTGTGACTGTCCAACGGGTTCGTTAGTAAAGCGAGTAACCAGGGATTAACCAGGGATTAACCAAGTCTGTCTGTTTACATGAGCACACTGTGAGGAGCCCAGTTCTGTTCAGTGTAGAGCCTGGCTTATTCATTCTCAGAACAAGCGCCAGATATGTGGTCACTAGAATTAATAATGAAGGTTGGTGATCTTCCATGATCCAACCATTTATCTAGAGCAGGGCTGGCCGGTCTTATCTGCGAAGGGCCAGTGTGTATGCAGGTTTCTGGGATAACCTTTAGGTGTGGAGACTCTTCAGCCAATCAGTCCTCAAAATTTGAAACCTAATTAGGGAGTTGCAGCGAAAACCAGCATAACCAACAGGCCTTTCTGGATAAGACTGGCCACCCCTGATATAGAATCATAGAGTGCCTTCGGCCAACCCCAGGAAGCATACGGCAAGTCTGGAGGAGCTGGATCACCTAACCGCATGGTTCTGGCTTAAAGATGGAAGCCCTCTGCAGCAGAGGGAGAAGATGCCTAGCAGAACTATAGCCTTTTCCCTACATCAAAGCCTTTATATCTGCAGGTGCAGAAAAGCAACAGGCGACTTTCAGAGGCAGTAATACTTAGGCATGATATTCACTGCAGTCTGTAACCCGGTACTGGATTAGGGGTTGGAAGATTAATGGATTTAAAATATATCAAAGATGAAGCTGTAGTCTTGCATGAATGCATTCAGTATTCATCTGCGTAGCCTTTGCTTTGGTTTACCAAAATCGTGATCTTTAAAACCACGCCACGGAGGAGACCGCCTGTGCAGCCCCAAAAATGATCACTCAAGGATGCCTAAAAAGATTAGCCTATTAGCAACTTTTAACATTTAATTCATTTTAATTAATAGGCAGTTTCATATAGTCAAATGATGGAATTCATTATTTTTCAAGTGCCATTTATTATCCGCAAAGACAGAAAAAGCATGTGCACTTTAAGATCTGAATTTAAAATACGACATATAATTAAAAAAAAAGTTTTGTATGCCTTGGCGCTCAGTATCTGAAGCCTCAGTTTTAATATCCTGCTGTGTTGAAATCAAAATGTGTAAAGAAGATAATTTCTGGACAACTGGTTTTGTGCAGCCAAATCTCTGTAAAGGTTAATGTTATAAGTGAGAAGACAAGGGAAATGGCTTACCATACCACTCATCCACCCATGCAAAGGCTTGGCGATGTCCAACCAGCAAAATATCCCTGATTACCTGCAAGAGAGACGTCACAGTCATCAAAGTCATGCTGAAGACATAGCTTTTTGCGTGTTGTTGGCTTAAGCATCTCAGCCTTCTCTTCCACATGCAGAAGAACGGTTTAGTTGAATGGATGTCAATTAGTAGATATTAAACATTCAGCTTCTAATTCACTGCTACAGTAGCTGCTTATATACTTATGTAACCCAACACAGAATGAGATACGTATGGTCAGAAAACCAAATAATCCATCCACCATTTATGTGTTTATCCTGGTCTGGGGTGTGTGAACAAGAATTGGGGTACACCCTGGCCTCAATGCCAGTCAATTTCAGGGTACTTACTGTACACACACTGTGGGTCTTTTCTACAGATGTCAGTTAGCCTAACCTCATCTTTAGACTGCAGGGGGATACCAGTGAGACAATAGGAGATTCAAGCATACTGGGCACGGTTACAGAGCCCCCAGCCCTACCGGTATCAGGAAACCGAGCTAACTGCCCAACACTAGTAATGTACTGATACGTGAAATTATTTGAAAAGTCATTTACGATGACATGCCAAAGCAATATCCTCAGGTACTGTATTCTATGTCTAATTTTACAATATTTAAATATGTCAGTATATTCTGTGTTACAGATAGAAACAATTCATACTTGTTTTGTATTTTTACTCAAGTGACCTTTAAAACAATTTCACCATAAGCGATAAAGGGGTTTCAGTGAATGTAGAATGTGTATAACTTCAAAATTAATATTTATTAAACATAAAAAAACTAATCCTAGTGACAGCTGTGAACAGTCATATAACGTGGCGCCGAGAGAAGAACATCTATCGGCCTGTGGTTTGGTGATGCTGAGTTCACTGTGTTTTTTTTGTTTAATATAGGCTATATGTGCAGTTCAAACATATTTAAGATATTCCTGCATCATGCTTTAAATGATGAAGATTCTTTGAAGAATACCTACACATCATTGCCATTTTTTTAGTGATTGTGTCTAATGGGATAAAACAACAGCCATTTAATATTGAATTTTATTTTCAAATAAAAGCGTTCCCAAGCATAGGATATCTATAACTCTTTACACTTTTAGTTCTTACTCTTCTTCTTGCCGCAGGACTTCTAAAAACACACTGGAGGCAGTAAAGCGATGTCAGAAGCTAAATTTGATAACATAAATCTCTATGTTAAGAATATGTGTATGTTTAGAAGAAGGAAGTCAGGAACAGTGATGTCATACCTTATGAACAAACTGTTCAACCCTCGTCTGAAGGCCCCAAACCTCAAATTTGACTGCAACGAGTTTGTAAGAGCACATGACAGGGTTGCTGTTCTCCTTCCAGCCTTTCTGTAGTGGGCCCCGGCCTGTTTTAGTCGAGGAAAAAATCCCGGGGTCCTGCAAATGGGTCAAACACATCCCCCTTTTCAATGACTCCATAAAGCATTCATGGAGTGTTCTTCATAGTTATTTTAGTAGGTCATCTTCACAATGCCCTAAGCGAGTTTTTAACATTGATTAACCTGTCTTCGTAGTGCAGCATTAAGAAAATTATATGAATATAATCTTTGGAGTTGGGCAGAAGTCACTCTGAACCAGGTCAAATATTCTGAATCGCATTCCCAGGAATAGCTCTGTTTAGAGTCTTGACAGTTACTGGACCTTGACTGATGTGTGTCTTAGCAGTAATACCTCCCAATAGCTACCACACCATTCCAGTCATTTGGGTGTCACTATTCTTTGAGATAAAAAAGCTCCAGATTGTTCTTCATATACTTTAAGCCATTTGATGTGTGCCTTTTAACGATTTTCAATGACAGGTTGTGAGGATGACAGGTTCAGAATTAAAATAAACTGATCTTCATATAACCTCCTTCAAAGTCCTACTATTTTTGTTAAACATACAAGTAGTAAAACAAATGAAAAAGACGAAGTACCTCTGAGATTCTGTAATGCCTTTCTGGGATGACGTCATGGGCTATGTCCAAGAAGCATACCTCTGTGTCAAAGGCATTTTTCTCCAAGCCAAAAATCTGAAGCACAAACAAAACAATGTGATTATGGCAGCAATGCTACAGTACCCATTTTTGTCTTCTATCTTTTAACATCAGGCAAAATCATTTAACGCTAACACTTTACTTAAAGCTGTCATCTATAATGCATTATAATAGTCGGTATAACAATGAATAAAGAATTACAGCATCTTCTATTCACTAGTGTTGATTATATTACTTCATAAGCTCCAATGAAGCTCTCATCTATAATACACTATAGATACCTTCATAATGCATTATAATGGTCAGTATAAGAATTAAGGATGCCTTGTACTGCATTATGAAGTTATCTGTAGTGCATTATGCATAATAAACATGGCTGTAACGTAAAGCATTTTTATAAATATTTATAGCCATCTTTATAATGCTTTATGAACACATTTTAATGTGTTATGAATGTGTTCATAGATTCTTATAGACATGTGTTACCCATTTAACTTACATTTTCATTGGTTCCACAATTGTCTTCATATTTTGTTTCTATGTGTATCGAAAACTTCGGCAAAAAGGAGCACTACAAATACAAACAAAATGATACAGATTGGGTTGCACAACTACGAGCTTTGAGGCACACACACACACACACACAAATATTCAGAAGAAAGAGAAATATTATTCCATGGAAAAAAATATATCTTTGTGTGTGTGTGGTTCAGGCACTATCTTTGAGATAATATTGGTCACAAGGGATAATGATCACACTAAATTGAACCACTCCATCACATATCCTCAAGCTGTGCAGTTAATTAGCCCAAAAGGATTAAGAGAAATCTCAGAGTGAGGTAAGTGTGATAACTAAGTGCATCAATTGTGAGTTATAAATACACCGTATGAGCTACAGTAAGTATGTTCAAAAAATGTGCGGGAATTTTTTTTTCATATAAATGTGCATTACTGACTGCATTTTACAAAGCTTAATGTGACATAAACAAACAAAAAAATAAAACTTACTGTGTACTCTGGCATCAGAAGGCACGCATGAAAAGAGGGAAATGTTTTTAGTATAAAAATCTTTAAAAAAAAAATAAAAAAATCTCATGGCTGCATTAAACATGCTAAAATTGATGTTTATCTTACCAGTAATTGTGTATGGATAGTAATTCCAAGCCTTTTCTGTGATGTAAAAAAGACGAGGCACTACGGCATAGGCCCAACTGGGAAGCTTACTGGGGAACGACAAAGAAATTATACCTCAGAATCACACAGTGGTGCATACAAAATCGATACGAAACTCAGTGCTCCATAATTATCCAATAATTACCATCCTCTCAATTCAAAAAGAAATGAAGTATTTCTTGATTAAGTGATATTGTTCAGCACTGTATATCACTCAGTCGTGATGAGAAGGCTGCGCAGTGCTATCGCTAAAAATAAAGCCCTGCTCAATTGGATCAGCTATAAATAGAATGACCGATCGCTTTGACAGAAAAAGGAGTCTGTCTAGAGGGAATTGGGGACGCGTCATTATATAATGTCATTAAAGGGGATGTACTGCAAAGTGGCTAGGAGGATACGGACCCTGTTAATTGTAACCTGAAATATCACCACAGGGCCGTCTCCTACTCCACCATTCAGAAGATGGGGGAATTTAGTAGCAAGCTAAAAATAAACAGACACCCAAGGAATTACAAAACTCCCAGACACTAACCCAGAGAAAAAAATGCTTATTTAAATATCTCCATATAGGAAGGAGCTTGAAAATATTATGCCCAATTGCAATCATCTAAAATGAGACATCCACATTACAGAACAGCTAATGATATACAGTCCACCTTTAATTAAATTCTTCTATTTTTTGCCAGCAAAGAAAGGACAGTAACGTTTAGGAGTTTACTAGTTCCAGATGTCACTAATGTGGCATTTCATCCAACAAAATTAGTAGGAATGCAAAAATGCAATGAGAAAATGGTCTTGCCAGAAGAATATCCTTTGGTGATGGAGAATATCAAATACTGGACACTTTGAAAAAGTATTCTTAGGAAAAAAATTGAGGAATTGAAGGGGACAAAATCCTCTTTGCCAAATTATAGATTACAAATAAAATCATAACATCTTTCAAGTGCTTTGACTTAGTTGGATACAGCAAGTGCAATAAGGAAACAATAATTATTTAAGGAAAAAAAAAATTGTGAGAATCAGAAGATCAATATGTATCGTTATGAGACCTAACTCTAACTTTGAAGTTAAAATAACCCAATAATTTTTAAAAGTACGCTTGCTGCATGAATGTATGAAGTACTGTTCATCACTCAATGACTGCCAGGGCACAATGATAATGACATAGATTACAATTGTATAATTGAATGATGTTAGTTAATAGGTGTAATTACATGCTGCTTATGAAGGTTCTATGAATGCATTATAAAGGTATTACGAAGGTGAAGTTAATGTAAAGCATTACCATTTCTCCTTTAGAGAAATCAGAAAGCATTACATTAATGACACAAATGACCCTGATGAATATATATATATAAAAGTGCTGTATACTGCATATGGAATGCACTGAGGATGCACAGGAAGCCAATTAAAAATGCACGTGCACCGCTGAGTGTGACTCCCTTGTGATGCTGCCTTACCTGGACAGATGGACCCTCTTCTCCGTAAACTGCCCTTCACCATGAACTGGGTCCATGTGCGGTTTGTTGCACACCACCTCCACTCCCTCCCCTGTGTGGCTCTCCTCGTGACTGTGCTTGCTTATAGTATACAGCTGCCCTATCCTGTACTGAGGAGAAAAGCCACAGTATGAAGTGAGCTTTATAAACAGTGCATATACCAAAACTAAGTGTGGAAAGATAGGGTGCGTGTGCACAAGCACTCACCGACCAGCCCCAATGAGCGAGCCTGGCTTGACGAGCTACTGAATGCATAAGCTTCATGCTCAAAGGAGCTTTCTGCATACACTTCACCACAAATTGTTTCTTAGATCACGGTAAGGTTGTCTAAGGTAGTGTTTCTCATCCCCGTCATCAAGGACTCCCAGACAGTTCACATTTTTGCTCCCTCCCAGCTCCCGGGAAAAAACATGGACTGTCTGGGAGACCCTGAAGACCAGGTTGAGAAACACTGGTCTAAGTTACCATGCTAACAACAATCAGTAGAGAGGATCCTGAAGGTCTCCATCATTATTATATGATACATCAGGGTTGGGCAATCTTATCTGCAAAGGGTCAGTGTGTATACATTTTTAGGGTAACCTTTCGGTCTGCTGTTCCAATCAGTCCTCTAATTAGTAATCTTATTAGGAGATTGTATGCAAAAACACACATACCAAACAGGCCTTTCTGGATAAGACTGCCTACCCCTGTTAAACATGTAGGCCCACTGTCAAGAACGGGCAACACACTTTTGTTTTCAAAAGTCCTTGATATAAGCTAAGCATGTCTTACACATGGATATACAGCTATGAATAAACAAGGTGATTCACCGCCACACCGAACATCAGTCAAAATTCTCAGGAGATATGCTAAATATCCAGGACACATGCAGGAGAAATGCTAAAAAGTCAAACACACACATACACGCACACGTGCGCGGACACGCGGAGCGGGGATCTTTCTTGCATCACAGTCTCCTGCCCGGCCCCTGACGTCACACTGACGTCAAAGTAGGCTAAAAATAGCAGCGATACAGCGGCGGATAATGATTTGCTGTTGGGGATGTGAGACGGCAGGGGGGAGAAGGTGGGGCTACGCTGATTGATTATGTATAAAGCATACAGTATGGCCGTGATCCTAAGGAGCGCAGTCTGGCAGCAGAGAAGGGCAAGGCGTTCACCCCAGGTTTAACCTGCTTTATGCAGATTACACTCAGTGCATAGCATACTTACATTACTGAGTATTAATAAACCAAAGGAAAAACAATTTATGTCTTCATTATTTACATTATGTTCTCAAATTTAGGAAGCCAAAGTAATAGTTTTTTTTCCGATTAATAAGTACTACTACAAAAGCATAATTATTCGTCTTTTCGTTGTTATCTCTGTCTCCCTGTATTAACCTCCAAGGCTGCACCTACAGCAAATACTGACTAGTTTCTTACATTGGCTGGATTAACAACCATTGCTAATTAAGTATTTAACTCCTTAAATGCAAGCAGACCCCACTTTCTGTCAATAACACAGTGCATGAGGGAACACAGGGACTAAAGGTTCAAGACAGGAATGGGAAGAATGAACTGTTGATCTCGAAAGAAGAAGTTATCACTGTGATTATTGGGGGGAAAAAGGTAAAAACACTGGAAATAAGAGAAGTGCATCATGACTGATTATGTTAGTATGATGGACACATTGCAACACCCTTATACAAACAGCCAGTCGAACCTCTGCTCAGTCAGTCGGCGAGCATCATCAGGTGTCTCCGCACATGGTGAGGTCTGGTATATGTGCAGGTAAACTGCTAATATCAAAAATAAACCTCATTGTTCTGTAGGGGTGCATGGTCATTCCGATTTTGTTACATAAACATATCTTCAAGAACAATTTTAACAGAGCGGAAGACCGAGGCATCATAAGCTGTAGATGTCTTACCTCCTCCACACTGAGAGGCATGCAGATTCTGTACTCTTTCAGCAGCATGGTGTCTGAGGACGTGCGCTGAACTGACTGATGGTGCAACAGAATGGAAACGCACTCCAGATCCTGTGAGGTTCTTCAAGAAAATGAGGAACAAAAACGACACTTATTTACTCTTGGCGATACATCATGGCGATACATAAATAAATATTACAAATAGATTGCTGGCAGTTGCTGGCTTCTAATTAAGGATGAGACAGGCTGGAGTGACAGTTATAGATGCATGTAGCTGGAGAGAAATGGGCATCTGTGTAAAGCTGTTTTGGGGGATGTAAAAAATCTGGTCCATTACATTATTTGAAATTGATAACCGTATTTATGGAATGCGTTGCATGCTCACCATTGTATACATTTACACCTACTGTATATGTTTACAAATACATATGTTACATCTATTCTCCTCACTGCCAAATTAATAAAGATTAATTTACAGAAATTATTTAATATTAATTAGATGGGAAATATTACGCCTCGTGCCCGTTGCTTCTGGGATAGGCTCCGGACCCCCCGCGACCCAGTAGGATAAGCGGATTGGACAATGGATGATCGATGGATGGATGGATAGGAAATATTACATTTTATTAAGTAGGCAGAGCCAAATCAGCTTTTGGCAGTAATTCTGATTGGGAAAACATAAAAAGAAAAACGGTTGTATGAAAAAAGATCATTTTATGCAAATATTGCATTAGTAGAATTAGGCTAATGAAACGTATATTTTAAGTTAAGTCACATACCTAAGTTCATTCATTCATATACTAAACAAACATCCATGTACAGTTCATGGTTTTATCAATATACATCATTACTTTTATTATGAAAGACCATAATAGCTACATAGTTGAACAATTATACATGAATAGTTGTGAAACTTACCAAATTGTTCCAGAGATCTTATACCAAGCGTCATTCACTTTACCAAGTTAATTTCGGTGGCAGAGCTGGTGTGACTTGGAGGGTCAGTACAGTGATCTGCCTGTATTGCTTTTACTACACTATTTATGAATCCGTTTCGAGTAAAAGTCCTTATTCTCTGTTTTTAATTATACGAATCATATCCGCGGACTTCCATCGCTGTCCGTGCCGTTCACTGCATTCTCTTGCCTAACTGTGAACACGTCCAGTGGAAAAATTAGATGTTCTTGCAGATCTATTTAATTAACTGTACAACTCAGCTGTGAGTTGTTCTTGTATGCGACGCGATGAAGGATGCGCAGTCCCCACCCAGGAAAGGCGTATTCCTCATTAAAAGCGGAGATAAGAGACGGGGGCTGTACTCTCAACTGAGCTGCACAGCATGTTACCGCAGTGGCTTAATGCTCACACGAGGGGCCAGGTGCTTTTTCTTAAGGACACCCCGATCACGTGCCCCAGCCCCGGTAAGTCCCCGATACCTCCGATACGTTTTATAGATCCTGGTTTTTGCTGACGCTGCGGTATAAAAGGGCGTCTACCCCGTCTACTAAGCATTAGGCAGGTCTCTGTGAAGTTACAGAAAACCACACAGTGAAATCTATTGTGTGTGTCTGTATATACTGTAACATATAACATATATATTACGATCCTATAAAAGGAGCAAATATCTCATAGGTTGAAGCAAGATAAAATAATAATTCAGAGCAAAAAATAATAATAATTGTAGGGCAGATTCTGCGTTATTTTGCAATAATAGAATGACTGATTGAATGTCAGATTGACAACATAATGGGTAAATAACCAAATTTCTGACACTTCTTTATTTTACAGTAAGCAAATGCCTATTACAACTAGATTTTATTTGAAATATTTCCTACTCTAGATTTTAACTTTTTATTTGGCTACTTTATGCTTTCAGAAAGTAAGTCACAATTTCCAGAAAGGGTTAAACACATGGGCATTGTTAAGGGGTATTTTAGAGGGGATCTTTAGCCCCATTCAAATGTTTTTATTTTTAGGCCCCCATATATATTATACATGTTTGCCATCATTCCCCCCCAGTAAAACCTCAGCCCCCGTACCCATGCATTTCTAACTACTCCCCTGGTTAACGACTTAGTAGCACAACACTAAATGGGTTAGTTATTTAATCATGGTTTTCAGTATTTACTCAAGTTTCTAATGGTACAATAAGATGCTATACATATTTATCTTACAACCGGTAATGACATCACAATTATAGACATTCAGCCTCCAAAATTCTTACTTTCTCTGTTTAGTCAAAAGCATAAAACATAGCTAATTTTTAAGGCAAATGTGATAACAGCAATAGGACAGCGACAAATGTGTGAATGACATAAAAAAGTGTCTGCTGATAAAATGACAAGAGTGTAATTTGAGATGTAAGTTATGGGACAAGTCTACATAATTGGGGGATGATCTCAGAGGAGAAATCAAAGTGACCCAAAAGGACACTATATGGAGTCTGTTCTGTGATCTCATTCCTCAATGCCGAAAAAAAAAATCACGCTCAAGGAATTCTGTGATTAAATATAGATCTCAAACACACATACTAAGCATAAAGAGTACATGTTATTTATGCCCATTTATGTAATTTTATGCCTCCTATACTTTAAATCTATTGTGACTTAGCATGGAAGGCTATACGGTGATGTCATCTCTACAGCTGCACTGTAAATGATTCTGTTGGTTTATGAATCACGCAAGTGCTGTGCTGTTTAAAATTAATTCAGGGAATGAATGAACACATAGCCCATTTGTCTCCTGGGTAAGAGGCTGCTTGCCAGTGGTCAATATCTGTGCAGTACCTAGAATACACTGATGGAATTTCTGAATAGTAAAGAGTCATAGTCCCCACTGGCTTTCAAGTATTCAGCTCCTGAGCAAGCTAATGCTAATGCAATTAGCTATATCATCAGATTGACTAATGATTTGCTACCACCAAGTTTTCAGTGAGTGGTTTTCAATGGAAGCAACACAAAAATGCAGTGTAAGTTCTTCTGAAGGAGGTACATTAAGCAGAGGAGCTTGATTCTGAAGGTCCTGGCAGCAACACTTGAGGGCAAATGGATGACCAATAGCTCCAGTCAAAGTCTGTAACTGGAAGACCAAATATCAACTAGCACAGATTCTAGTAGACATTGGCTAGCACACTGTGATCCATCTTTGCATTTTATCAATTCTGTGCAGAATTAACTGGACCATGGAGGGTTTTGTTGAATAAGGCATAAAGTACTGTGGATTTGTGATGCAATGCTGGATGCAACCAGGTTTGATGCAGGAACTGTACTCTGAATTAACATGAAATTGCTATTGCTGTGTTACTGCAGTAATAATAAGAAATGCTTGGATAGCCAGGTGTGAAGCCTCTGACCAATCAGAATCAGTAATTATTAAACTAACTACCTGGGAGAACTGAAAACAAGGCCTGGATTTAGAATCGAGGTCCTGATTTGAAGAGCCCTGCTATAGAAGTTCCTTCTATCAGTATAAACAAAACCTTTTTCTAAGGAGATCGGAGGCTTTTCATAAATACAGAGTAAACTGGTCACATGTATTTTGCAGCCCATTACAGATGCACATACCATGTGTTGGATCCGTACCACCATCAGTCCCATTCCTGATCTTGCTCTGAATTGCCTATTGTCATGTTGTGAGAAAGTAAGGACTTGAGACCAGGGGGGTATTCCATGAAGCAGGCTTAAGGGAAAGTCTGACTTATTTCGACAAGTCAGTCTTACTTAAGTGAGAGTTCCGTTCCATCAACGTGTCTTAAATGAATCCCCGCTGAATTACCATGGTAATTTAGGCCTGCGAACAAGCCTGGTCCGGCTGTCTAGTTTAGTGTTGTCTCAAAGAACGTCCGACGTGTGGGAACAGATTCCCAAAAGATCGTTCCGTCGGACGAAATTCCGCGATCTTACTGTTCATGTCATGTAATCTGTTGAATTATATGTCCTCATCTGACATTATATTTTACATTATCTGATTGATTTTTTTTTGTTAATCTGTAAGGTGTAGCAAAATTACATGATTTTGTTTGAGTTAGCGTGAGAGTGAGTCTTGTATACAGTCGTCCCTCGTTTATCGCGGTTAATCTGTTCCAGACTCTACCGCGTTAAATGAATTTCCGCGAAGTAGGATTCTTTATTATTCGGCTGCACCTGGCGTTGAAGGATTTGCGGGGGTGCTCCAATACATAGGCCTACAGTCCAAAATTTTAATTTTAATTGTAATACAGAGGTGTATAATTGACTCAGACAACCGAGCGCGCGCTGTATCATTTTCACTGTCTATCAACTTTTTAATGAATAAATGTATTTGAAAAAACCGCGATAGAGTGAAGCCGCGAAAGTCGAAGCGCGAAATGGCGAGGGACGACTGTATACGTATTTAACAAAATGGAACCCTGTAGTCAGTGCTGTGAGTAAAAGCAAGACGAGAAAGCAGAGAATAAAAACCATCTTTTCTGAAGTAAAGCTCTGCGTGATACTTCCATAATATGGAGAACAGAGCTGAGATTGCTACATGATCAATATAATAAAGCCTATAAAATCACGTCTTAGCATTCCAATTAATTCCAAAATAATTACAGTAAAATCCCGTTATAGTGAACTTGCTTATAACGGAATTTCGCTTATAATGGACAAACAATTTGGTCCCCAGGGCCGCTTTTAGCTGTAGTTCTGTTCGGCTATAACGGACATGCAGTTTCGCGTACAAGCCGTGTGGCGTGCCCGTGATTTCCAGCGCAGATACGTACGTAGTCGGGATTACTAATAGTCACGCCTCTGGTCAGGTAAAGTTGGATTACTACATGTACAATATAATAATCTATACCACAAGTGTGTCTGCTGAGGTGTGGCATGAGTAAATGGTGTCCTGTAGTGTTCTGGGCATAAAGCAACTCTGGATGTAATATGGACTGTTTTGCCAGGTCCCTTGAACCGCGTCCGTTATAACGGTATTTTACTGTAAAATAAAAGCGTGCGCATATTACAAAGGTGAAACATGAAATGCAATGACTGTAATTGGGAAAAAAATCCCTTAAAATAATATGAACAGGAAGATATATTTATATATTTTTAGTCACTGTCTACTTTGAACGTTTACTACTAAAATAACAAAGATAACATACGGTTATTTGTGCAGAACATTTCACACGGATGTGATTTAAAGTATTTTACGGAGATCAAATAATATTATACAGTAATAATGACACGCGAAATCAACGCAGAAAGTGCCTTGTTGGCTATGGGGATCGAACCAGTAACTTTCGCATTATAAGGCAGCAGCATAAACTACTGTACCACCGTGCCATTGTACTAAACACTTGTAACATTTACGTAACTTATTATTGCATTTATTCTGTCTGCAATTCATTGCCAAACCAACTCCATGGCTGTGTTTATGGCCACAGTAGTGCCTTTTTTTTTAACGATTACTTCTTTGTATTTTTCATACGGCTCCATTAGCAGCGTTTATTCTGCGGCGGAAACACCGCTCTTGTTTTACAGGCTTTCCGACTCATTTGGTCGATCTATCGTTCATCCATTTATTTGGGCTTCTTAAATATCGCGGGTGTGCACACTAAGTGAGACTATGCAAGTCTGCCTTGAATGAACCTTCATTAATTAAAACTGAACTGCGTGAGGTTAAGTTTAGAGATGGAGGTAGGTTGAGTCTGACTTTTTCGGGAAAGTCCGCCTTTTTTTTTTAGCTACTTTCATGGAATACCCCCCAGGTCTCAGGAGCACAAAAAGGGGCTTTATTTAACAAAACAGGAGCAGGGAAGCTAACAGGGCCGCGAGGGGTCAAAATTGGAAGGCTTTGACTGGGAAGGGCACAGGCAACAGGAGGATTGACCTTAATGACCCGACTGGGGAGCACAGGACTGGGAAGCATGCATATTCGGGATAAACGAGGGACTGATATGATTCAGGTATTGACATTTATCACATTAGGATCGGGGATTACTAACAAGACACAGCTGGGAAGAAGCAGGAGGGTTCCAGGTGACCAGCAGTGACCCCTGCTGGTCATACCGGGGGATGGACAGGACAGGTCGTGACAGATGCTGGTGTAACTATCATTTGTATAGAGAAACAGCTGTCCTCTTTTCCCTGTTAGGTCTGAATTTTGTCTTCGTGGACTACCACCTAATTGCCAAGAAGTGCTGTTTAATAAAGAGCCAGCCCATAAATAAGCCTGTTTTTTGATTATTATTCCAGTATCATGGTTCAGATTTCACAACATGCTGGTAAAACATCCTGTTTAATTATCAGGTGTTTGTTCCGCATCCTTGATGTGCATGTGTGATTTCCCGCTCCAGCTCTCAGATGCCCTGGTCCTCA